CCCACTTGCATTGTGGTCGCCCGCCGCCAAAAATGCGACACCTTGACACAAATGTTGAACTCCACTATACCACAGCGTTAGGGATGCGAACAGGTCAGGCTTGGATCCCATATCCCGTTCTCGAGGAGCCTTGAGGGCCATCTTCGCAATTTGGACATCCCACATTCTTAGGTGTTTTTGGGAAGTGCGAATATCATGGCAGTTTATAGTGGTTCTCCATTAGACCGCCATAAACGGGGCCAAAAAAACTTGCCTTCTAGCAAAGGAAACCCCTTGTGTACCACCACCAGTACACGGCCCCAGCCTTGCAAAAAACGAACTTTCTCCAACGACCTTTGTTATGTTTCCGACCTCCAACAACCGCGGTGAGGGCCAGTCGTTGATGTTCTGCCATGTACTGGTCGTTTAAAACACCAGTACCTCCCGACCTGTTTTTGGCGAGCCTAAATTTCCCTGCGCTCCAAGTTTTATCTAGTGTGGGTCCCACTCTATTTTCTTTTCTCGTACTCTCACGAGGAAAAAAAAAAGTTGTAGTTGTGAAACTCATAACCAACCCAGGCGATTGGGAGGTTTAGGTCTTTTGGGTCCGTTGTGGCAAATCATTGCGCTGCAAGTACGACATCTCATCTCGGCCTTGATGCGCACAAAGGGTGAGACTCGACATCAAGTTACCCGAACCCATCTGGCCTATGCACTCCAAATACTGAAAGAACTCATGGACCTATATCTATTGGATAGCTCAGCGATAAGCCATGTTCGCGGGGACACGATTTGGACCACGAAACTAGCTTTGCGAAAAAATGTGAACCTGAGATATCAGTTGTTGGAAACTGTGAACAATGCTTTTAATTAGTTGCTCTTTGGTAACAGGTTCATCCGCGACACAACAGGTGAAGGTGAACTGTTCCCATGACAAGGACCATGAAGAGCATACAGTTGGAAATGGGCAGAGCGGGAAATTTACAAGGTGGGTCATCTTTGGGACGAAGGCAGAAGGGTTGGCGCACAGACAGTGAGTTGGAAGCAACCCTGCAAGGACGAATGATGAAGAGGCAGAGGACGACAGAGCTGAGGTCATCCATCTCCCCCCAATAATTGCGTTTGTTGCAAGAAAATAAGATAACGGTAGGAGAGTGGGTGAGGATCAAGGAAAGCCCGAGGCCAGACATACTATATAGGGTGGGGCACCCCATGCAGGGCGATAGGCGAGAAGTCACAAAATAGAGGGTAACGTCGCGATTAACATATGAAGGGTTGGGGGGGCCTCTACGGGAAGCAGAAACGTGAAGGTTGACCTTGGTAAGAAATGAAGTGGAGACAGTGGCAGTCTGCGAGGGAGGAAAAGATGTAGAGAGACAATATCGATCATTCCAGCTAGTACACGGTTGCGGGATCTTACGTGGAACCCAAGGGACTGGGAATGATAACCTCACGGGATGCATAATAAGGCCACGCCACTGTAAGAAGTGACCACGAAGAACATTCACGATTCGCTGATAACACCAATCAACATTGGTGAAAAGTTAAGGAACAGATGGGCCAAGAGAGACCGACTTCCTGATGCTTACCTTGGTCGGTTGACTCAATGGAGATGCAATAAGCAATGTGTTATATTAATAACTCTGTCATATCATAAACTTGCGGGATTGTTCTGACAAATCTACCATTTGGCAATCCCCATAACAAAATTGCTAGCTACTAAGAGTCAGCATCAAAATCAGCTATGTGCAATAGGGTGTGACTAAGCAGAGACGACCACTCACTTTTTTATACAACGCCCTCAACTCCAGGCTTTCTGGACAAGATGGGGTCGGAAAGTCGCAGATAAGACACCGCTGAAAGTTACCAAAGGGAATGATACAACTATCCTACTGAGTGCGTTAATTAAAGTCGTTAGGCCAGCCTTTGGAGACCTGCTGTCTGCAAAAATAATTTGGGCAACGGTGTTGTGGGTCGTATAGACATTGCAAGAGGAGCGTTGCAAACAATGAGCAACATATCACTGCAAATATATCAGGAAAGAGCGATGAAGAACTTTAGGATTGCCTTGCAGACAGACTTTCGACGTTGTAGATATTCGGGGGTTGTTGTGTGAAGGTGGAAGAATTATGAAAAAGATGGGATTAGTACCCGCAGATGTTAATTCTTGATCCTGACACAAACCGGTTATAATTCGGCCCTGTTCTGTTGTATCATGTTCCCTGGTTAGAAAAGGACCCAGAATAGGAACGATGTGGTACTTCATGCTCTCGGGGCAGAAGTGATAGAAGTTTAATAGTTGTAAAATAGGTAGAGGGGGCCCGTAGGAGGTACGCCACTGGCAAAATAATGATAGGAGTGAGTATGATAACGGGATGGAAGGATAAGAGGGGCATAGCATAGGAAGGGTAAAGGGTTGAGGGAGTGATTTCATGAAAAAAAACAAGTTTAAAAAGTGGCAAAAAAGGACAATACTTGGGTAACATGCTGGGGATATTATGAAGGATATTATGACAATAAGGAGCAGTGGTGATGAAGGGATTGTATAGTTTGATAATGGGGAAGATTAGAAACAGGAGTAAATTTAATTGAAAAACGTAACTAAATAGGCAAAAAATAAAAGAATTAGCAGGAGATGGTGGTATTGTTTTTTTTCGAATGGTAATGAGAATACAGTAAGGGCGATGTGGAGTATGAGGCTGCTAGAACGAGCCTCCATACACCATTTATTTCCTATAGACCTTCTGCTTCGTGATTGGGTACTTCCAGCTTCCCTACTAGCAGTAACTCTCTATGAAAGCAATGGTTTGGGGGAGGGGGGGTCGGATCATAGCTGCCCCCCCCTTGAGTAGGTGACTCGTACCACAAGGGCAAGGTTGACTCATTTTCAACATTTTTCTTCCGTTATTTTTCTTTTTTGTATTCATGCTTGTCGGTGATAAGCAACCAGACTGATGCCCCCCAAACTATAAGGGGTCGTAGCATAAAAAAAAAAAAAAACTCGTAAAAGAAGGAAAAAAAAACAAAAACAAAGCCTTAGCAATGAAATGTGGTTATGTACATTATTGGAAGTGATAGTGTGAGTATGCCCTCATTGAAGGCGCCTCAACCTCGTGGCTTTATTGTAAGATTTAAGAAAGACAAAGAAAGAAAAAAACACAGATTTGCATACGATATTTGACAAAATACACTCCTTTAAGCGGGCAATATGATCACTGTTACAATCCTCTAAAGAAACACAACTTGAACAGATTACGGATTACGCCCCTTGCTGGCAGAGGATTCATAACAGTGACAAAATAGATAAAAACAAAAAACAACATTATCCACAATATGACCGTTTTAGCTGTAACTACCATTATGTGCATGATTATTGTGAGCACAACCTCCTTGATTACCCTGCTAGACATCCTTGCGATACAAAAATTTCTTTTCTTTTTTTTTACACGAGTGGATAATATAAACCTTTTTTTTTTTGTCAAATTTTTCCTATTTTTTCCAACACTGGCAGAGGTACTCGTGGTTTAACCCCCCAAAAATGCACATACCATTTTATACGAAAAAAACGTAAAGTTATCATAAAATTACAGATGATAGGAAAGGTCAATCAAACTCAAAGATAGTAGGTTTTTCGTTCATACATTATATAACGAATTTAAAAGTATATATTTTTTTAACTTCGGTATTTATACGGATTTTTTGCATTGCCACTTGTATGCACCCTCGTACGAGTACGAATTCGTAAAAGCTACCAATTTTTCCTATTTTTGCCAATATTGGCCGAGGTACTAGTGGTTTAACCCCCCAAAAACGCATATACGATTTTATACGAAGAAAACTTAAAGTTATCAGAAAATTACAGATAATAGGAAAATTCAATCAAACTCAAAGATAGTAGGTTTTTCGTGCACTGTACTCGTACGCTAACGCCCCCGTACAAATTTTTATTTTTTTAATCCGGTATTATTTTTATTTGTTTTCTCAAACTCTAATAATAATATAAAAATGATGATCAATCAAACGTCGCTTTCGTGCTGTTGCATCACTTTTTTTTTTTTTTTTTTTACGATTTTTTTTTACCCGTAAGGGGGCGGGCGTACAAGACATACAGTTTCCCGTACAACTTCCGATACAGATCCCGTACAAATATTACCTATACGTTTCGTATGAAAAGACTCCGTACATGTACGTTATGCAATAAGTTGATTTTTATTTGTTTCTAAAATATGGTTGGATATTTTGATAGGACCCTTCGCTAAAATTTCATTACATTAGAATGTTCTACAACATATTTTAACCCCATAAATTTTTAAGTAAAAATAAATAAATTTAAAAAATAATAAAATAAAATAAAATATTTCTGCCTAGACTACCAGAGTGGTCCGAGGCCACTTGCTAATTGTTTTCTCCCTTCTTCTTTCCTACTCTCTCCTATCTCGCATTCTGTTGTGTATGGTTGCTAATGTCTATCTCCGATATTTACTACTGGCTTTGCTGTTGTCACTGACAACTTTTTCACTCGGAGTAACCGGTGTAGAAATTGCACTACGACTGTGTGGCTTCATAATTCCCAAGATTCCAGTAGCTATGGACGGGATGGCGGCGGCTCCTAGCCGGAACTATTTTAACTGTGGTCAATTCATACATTTTCAGAGATTCTGTCCGCATCCTCCACGCAATCAAGTCTCAAATCCCAACTCTGCTTTAGTCCCTGTTCAACCCTTGTTGGCTCTCCCAAACTCTACTCCTACTTTCAATAATACCAACAGTCAGTCCTTCCATTCTGGACGAGGAGCTGGCGGATGGTACCAGACTAATGTTCGACTTAGATCTTTGGAGAGCGATATGATGGCGATTAAGGCAAAGCAAGAGGCTGAAGAGGCAAAGAAGAAGGCAATGAAAGAAGAAGAGAAGAAAGCGGCACGTCAGAAGGAAGAAGATGAACGAAAAGAGAATGAACGAAAGGAGCGTCTTGACTTTCAGAAGATGATGGGCGATACAATGAATGAACGTTTTGACCAGATGAGGAGAGATTTGTTGTCAGGAAAAGACAAGGACAAAAAATCCGAGATTGAGAAGATACGCAAGAAAATGAAAAGTTTGCGACAGATGCAATTCACGACAGGAGTAACTGCTGGCAGTGGAGGCGTTTCACCAGGAGTAGCCGCGAAACGTGTTCGAGAAATTGAAGAAGCCAGTCGGAAAACACAAGAAGAAAACGATAAGCGGTTTGAAAGCATGGAGGAAAAGATTCGGATGCTGACAAAGGAACGAGATGAGGCCCTAGTTGCTGCCGAAAACTGGAAGAATGAAGCCTTTCGACCAGGATCAAAGAGAGGAGGGATTGTGATTGAAGCCACTCCGTCGACGCAGACACGTGTACGACCTCGATGTGCTTCCCCAAGAACGGTGAAGAAGACCCATGCGGCGGAGATGGCAGCCTGCCACGCAAGAAAGGTAGCTACCCTCAAGGAGCTTCGGGCAGAAGCCCTACAAGAAAAAAAGGACAAAGAATGTGAAGTTGCCAAACTCAAGGAGAAGTTGGCAAGGCTTGAGATGGAGCGGAAACAAAAAGGACCAGGAACAGACTTACGTGAGAAGATGGACGAGGCAGCACGTACTTCCGGTTGCAGATCAGGAAAAGGGAAAGAGAAAAATGATCATGCGGAGCAGTCAACCAAAGCGAATGATAGGGAGAATTTCATTATTGAGAATAGAAGGATTCTAAAACCGTTAAAGAAGGATGCGATTTTTGCCATTTGTCTACAAGAAGGGATTATCTACTCGACGCTTGATCGTACGAAGGAAGACATCATCAACAAACGTGTGCAGTTGGCATTTGGCGACGAGCATGCCGACAACAAAATCGTCATCGAAGACGTGTCTGAAGAATCACGGGGGGAAGATGGTGACTAGGACCTAGTTGGGGTTTCTGAGACGTCCTCTTAGAGTCAATCCCGAACGCGGCATATCTGTGGAATCTTCTTAGAAATGGTATAATTTCTCGTCCTTCAGATCCTGTGCCTCTCTGAAGTCGACTTCTGAATAGATTGTTATGTTTGACGGTTCTTTGTTTGGTCTTGTTGAATCAAATCCCGTGGGCACGTAAGCTGGAAAATCATGTGTTGAGCTTGGTTTCGAGTCAGTTTGACCTAGATACTTGTGACGGACCGTTGATTTATGCTCTCGTTTCACCATGGAGTAAACACATCTATGTTGGTAGTACGACCCGTAATCTTTTCGTTCGATGGAATGAACATATATATAGGACTAATAATTGTACTGTTATTGAGAAAGGTAAACGAGGGGAAAAGTTATATCGGTGGTTACGGAGGTTTGGTGTGCATAACTATGTTGTTGTTCCTATATGTACGTGTGCCAAAGAGGATGTTGACAAATGTGAAAAGTTATTTATTCGTACTCTTGGTTCGTCATTAAATTGTCGAGATAGGACTTGTAAGACGAAACGAAGGAGGAAAGGGCTGCGTGAAAGATTGAGAGAGAAGAGGAGGAGGGAGACTGAGAGTGTACGTAATGGCCAGTTGGTAGTTCCTAAGAAGAGTCATTCTCTACTTTTCTTTCATTCAAGTGTTGGCATTGTGTCCTTTAGTCTTAGCAGGATTCTTGAATATTGTATTGAGGAACATAGACATAGATATGTTGTCGTTTGTCGGGGCGGTGGTTCTCTGGTTGAATCTTGGAAAGTTATTAAGAGACGTTATAAAGCTACGACTGTTTCTTGTGTTCACGGAACGGTGCAGCTTCGAAGATCTCGAGAATGGTTCAGAGATGATACTGTTCTTACCTTTGTTTCTATTTCTCTGTTTATGTCTCGGTCTGTGGAATATAAGGAGCCGTTAATTGAACTTTTGAGTAATCCTGGTACTCGACGAGATCTGTACAGCTGGGATTTGGACAGGTTAATTTTTGCTTTTTCTGTTGTTCGCTGTTTTTCTGAGAAAAAGACGAGATCTAGATTGCGGGTGATTCTTTCCCGAGTTGCAAATGTCAAGTTTAATGCTCAGTTGAGGAAGAGACTTGTGGTTCGCATCGTTTTCGATCACACTGTGTGTAAAGATGCCGTACGTTCTTAGTGCGCAAAAAATGTTAGATTATTAGGAATTTCTAAGGCATGGCAGAAACTGTTGATAAGAAGAATGAGGATTGTATGGTGCAAGAATAGGTCGGTTGGGGAGATTATTCATAACCACAGGAATGCTGCAAAAGAGGAGTCTGCTATTTGTTGTTGTAATGAGACGAATGTTTCTTTCCCACGTGTGTCCGGTCATGTATCTTTCTGATTGAGTCAAACCACTTCTCTCTTTCCGGTAGTGATGCACAATTCCAAGAATGTTTTACTTCCTTCAATACGCTCCGTTTAAAATTTGAGACGCCAGCTCAATTCTGCCTTTTGTCCTTCTCTTCCAATTTGTCTATACCGGTTCTTTCTGATCTCTTCAGTAAATGTGAGTTATTGGACTACCTCTGTGACTGTTTTTTTTACTGTGGTGCCACCTTCTGTGTTGACGAGATACTCGAGCAGAAAGTACGGTTGAATGGTTTGGTGTGCTCCCCTATTGATCATAATATAGGGGATACATATTATTTATTGCCCAGTACTGTAGAGGTCAAGAATGGAAAAACTTTTTCTGGGGAATGAATCCTTTTCGAAGGTATCTGAGTTTGGTAGCACGATTTTGGATGCCTGCAAACAAAATTATGTTGGTAAAGACTTGACGACCATTGCATAACGGAAGAAGGACGGGACTTTTGGTAGAGCTTATTGTATTCCGAAACATAAGGATGTCAACAAATGGCGTCCTATTTGTCTCTCGTACTGTGAATGCTCAACAAAAGGAGGGAGGATCATTTCCCATGTCGTGAATCATTTGTTGTGGAAGTTACCTGATGGGATGCACTTCAATCTATGGGCGACGACAGATCTCATGCAGGGCATTGCCAAAGTTAACAAGCAATTGAAGGAAGGGCAAGCGTCAGTGGGGGCTTCGTTTTATGTTAAAGAGATGTTTTTTCATTTGCCACATAGATCTATTCTTCGGGCTCTCTACTGGATCCTTGATTTTTGGCTATCTCAAGGCTTTGAGCAGAGGAAAGAAAGAAGAAGGTTGGTTTCGAATCGATTTTGGTTTGATCAGACAATTCATTGGCTTTGAATTAGAGAACACTTTTGTTTTCGCTGGTGCGGAACTTCTGAGACAGACTGTTGGGATACCAATGGGGAAGTCATCTAGCCCCGCACTCGCTTGTTTACTTTGTGCATATAACGAATTTCTTTTCTTATCTTCTATTGGTTCCTCCCGTACTATCTTTCATGGTTTTCGTCTAGTGGACGATGTGTCGGTCTTTGTGACTACAGATACAGTAACAACTGAAAGGGAAGCCACTCATCTGATTCTGATTTTTTCCAGATGCTATAATCGTAATCTGGTTTTGGAACAAACCAACGAGGAGCAATGTTGGGACTTTCTCGGTTGCTCTATTGAGGTTTACATGGAAAATCTGGGGATTGCCTGCATGCCGTTACACAAGAATCAGAGATATTAGGAGGACGGACACATTTCTTTTCAAAACATTCAAGATTATTATTCCTACTCTACTAAGTAACAAAAAATGACTGTTATTGGTTCCTTTTTTCATCGGGCACGAACCTTCTCTTCTATTTCAGGTTTCGAGTTTCCTTTCTTATTTTCTCTGAAGGTTGAGCTTTGGAAACGCGGTTACCCAGATTAGTTTTTTGATGATACGTTGTTTCGATTCTCGAAGAAATTCGCTGGATGTTGGGATCACTGGTTGTCGGTGTTGACTCGATAGGATCGGACCCTCATGTATAATCGAAGGCAATAGGGTTAATGTTCTGAGGATTAGTGTTGATGTGAGGAAGTTCTTTGGTATTGTCTGTTTTTAGGACACGGATGACCCCTGTTCCAAGGTTATGCACTGGGGGAACTATGTTTTTGAAGTACCGTCCTTTTATAGGAAATATTTTGTAGTGGGTGAGTCTGCCAAGGTACCGAGGGATGCTAAGGTTCGATACGATGACCACGTTTTGGACCCTATGGTTTTCGGGTACGTATATGAACCTGAACGGGTTTTCGAGTATTTTCTCTTTTAGTTTCTAGAACCTGGTGGTTGGTCACAAGTGAAGCTTGGGTCTAGCTTTTTTAGTTGAATTATTTTGAAAGTTTCTGGACTGTTTTTTCTTTTCCCGACGAACGTGGTCCTTTTCAGAATATTGGTTATTTAGTCCATACCGGTTTAGACTAATGTAGGTTGTAACTCACAGAGACTCGCACGATATAAAATCGATCGAGGTAGTCTGTTTTCTACCGACGACCGAAACGATCCTTGATGAGACTGGGTGGCGGCCAGTCGAAACCGGTCGGATCGCGCCATAGTGCGATTGGCTCGGCACTCTCAAGATGTTTTTTCGAGCTTGTCGCGTTCGAGAGTTTTAATTGCGATTACTTTTTCATGCAAGTCTACGTGTGTATCTTCTTCCTCCCTTCTTTTTTCTTACTCTCTCCTATCTCACATTCTGTTGTGTATGGTTGCCAATGTCTATCTCCGATATTTACTACTGGCTTTGTTGTTGTCACTGACAACAACACTTGCTCGACCGGACCTATATATATATACAACTTAGGAAATAATTTCAATGTTACCCTGAAGCAAACGTTGTTTAGTTTATTTTTTTACATAACATTGTTTTGTCTTTCAAATTTTATTTTTTTCGATACCTTCTTTCGTTCTTGCACGGTACGATCGTCTGGGAAAAGAAGATGACCTAGGCGGTTCGACGCGTAACCGAAGTCTCTGCTATAAAATACCATTTTTTATTCTTATTCTCATTTTTCCCCTTAATTTTGGTTGAAATTTTGACAGGATTTTATTATCTTTTTATTTGTTATCTCGCTTTTCGTTGGGATTTCAACAGGATTGTGAGGCAAAAGTTATTTGCATTGCGCTATTGTACAACACATTTGGTTATAGAATTTTTTGAAGTTCCTTGAAAATTTAAAATTCTACAAAAATTAGAGAACAATGTTTCAAATATTGCGTACATCAAATACATGGTAATTATGTTGTATTGGAATATACATTATATTCGAAAAACACAACAATGAATTTTATAAACTTATTTATATATATATCGTCAAATAGAACTGCCCGGTAAACCGTAGGCAGAGAGGGAGAAGAGGACAACAAACGAGGGGCTGTGACAAACTGTTTCGTCGGAGTTTCACCGACTCATCAGGAGGCTGTGAGGAAGAAGAGGACAACAAACGAGGGGCTGTGACAAACTGTTTCGTCGGAGTTTCACCGACTCATCAGGAGGCTGAACCCTCAACAGTCTGTAGAATCCCCTCACTGATTACACTGTAAGTGATAATCCACCTTAATATATATAAGTTAAACAAAACGTGCATACTTTTTTCGAAGACGGTAATATTCTTTCTATAAAAGTTTTTCCTGCTCTTATTGTTCCTCCAACCATTTCATTGGGCAAATACTGCTCTACTCCCATGTTCCCCTTTCTAAATGTCTCGAAATGTGTTTGTCCTGGCGGACATATGAGATAAAAAATATGCTCTTCCAAGTTTCAGGCCAGAGTGCATTGTTGAAAACTCTTAAAACTTAGTCTTCGGTTTGTGTGGACCGATGATTTAATATAACCCTGAAGTTTTACGGTTATCTCCGTGTTTTTGACCTTATGGCACAAGTTATCGTACTGGTTCGCTCTACATGTTCCTTGGGCATACCAGCCTCAAATTCTATACCATAGAAAATCCAAAAATTAAGACAAACAAAATTTAGTATTTATAGGTAAAACTTTGAATAATTCAAAATTCAACATGAATCAATAAAAGTTTTTTTAAAAGAATAATTGGTTAGGTGAAGGTCGAGCACTATGTACAATAGGGTGGACGATAACCTCTAAAAAAC